AATATATTAATATATATATATATATATATATATATATATATATATATTCCCATTGGTTTGCGTATTCAACATATATATAATCAGATTTATTTTATATAAAATAGGATGGGGAATTAAAACTACTCGACGACCTTCTAGCTGAGTTGCGTAGTATCGAAAAAGCAGACAAAGTAACTGATGAACTTTTGAAGGTAAATTATATATCCATTTAGATACTCTTAATTATTTATAACAATGCAACTAATTTATACATGCTAATTCTTATTTTCTTTTGGAGTTGATAACTAAAAATGCTAATCGGATTATTGAAATTTTAGGATATGATCAAGGAAGTAGACGAAGCTTTCTCTTCTAAATAGAGGAATAAACCGCGATCGGATTCAGATCATGAAAAATTACAAAGAAGAAAAGAAGAATTAATTATTAGTAATTTTAGTATTATTGTTGTTTATTTTCAACCTTAGAAACCATCTATGAAATAATTTGATATAGGTCTTAGTAGGACAATGAATATATGGTTTGTCATGTCATATATCATTGTTTTCAATAAATGAAGTATTAATCTTAAATAGTTTATAATGGGTTTCCCTCTTCTATTCTCTTTCGTCGACTAATACGTACTATGTTTTTATAGTAATATAAATCAAGGTACATATATGTATATATATATATATATATACTAACCATGAAGAAAACACATAATTAAACAGATTTCTTCAAATGGTTTTTGACTTGTGTTTTTCTAATTGGTACGTACTTTCTCTAATTAGATACAAAAGAGACGCGTAATTCTATTCCGATGGTTATATTTTCTCTATATAATCAAAGAAATTATCCTTCCATTTATTTCAACCTTCTTGAAATATTTTATGTATACTAAGTTAATTAATTTGGTGTGCTAATAAACCATTAGTAATTACAAGTATAGTTTGATTAGGGCAAGAGTTCTGTATTAAACTTCACTAAAGGCACCATTGACTAGATATCTACGCACACATTACATTTGCAGAACTAAAGCTTTTGAAAATTTGAGTCGGTGTTGATCTAATGGATGAAAAAAGGAAGAAATGTACGCAAACTTAATTAGTGGTAAACGTAGTAATTAAAAGTTTCCTTATCAAGAAACTTATTGTGGTCTTAATTAAAAAGCAAAATAGAATATGGTATAATTTCAAAGACTTTTGTTACTCATGTATTACAAAGAACTTGACTGTACCAGAGCTGGAGATCGCTTTAGCATTCCTTAGCTCAACAAGTACTCTGTTGCATGTGGCTGATCTTGCCACAAAATTAAAATGCCTCTGTGCGTTAACTAACCAAGGAAACAATTTAGAGCAACAAAAATAACTTTAAATGTTGACCACATACTAATCTAAACATAACGTGTATGTTTATATGTCTACTCAAATTACATTTGCAGAATAAAGGTTTTGAAAATTTGAGTCGGTGGTTTGATCTAATGGATGAAAAAAAGAAGAAATATATACAAATTTAGTAGTAAACTTAGTAAATAAGAGTTTCCTAGTTGAAAATGTTGTGGTCTTAATCAATAACCAAAAATAAAAATGGTAATATATATCAAAGACTTTTGTGCATGGAAACAACATCAACACAGAATACATAACTAAATGCATTTCACCCACTTGACACACACTACATCTATAATAATTCTCTATATAAACCAGAGGATCAAAACATTAGGAAGAACATAAAGAGAAGAAGAGCAAAGAAAAAAAAACTAGAACATAAAGTGTTTCATAATTCTTGTTCAGTAGTACCAAACAAATCAAGAAAATGGTTCTTACAAATGATGAGATTCTTGAGATTGTGGCTGAAATGGATCGTATCACAGAAACAATGGAGAAAAAGGCTAAACAGGAGATGGTAAAAGTGTTTCATTTTGATGATATTCTTATAATCAATTAACAGATTTTGTATATATATCCATTGTTCTATATATAATTCACTTTTTTTCTATAAAATAATTAGGTTTGGTTTGACAACAAAGCTATGAACGACATGTCTATAGCAGCAAGGTTTGAGACCGAGACTCTCAAGAAGTTTGACGATGAGACTCGTCGTATATTCAAAGCAAATCTAGAAAATACTGAAAAATTGACGGTAAACTGTTTATTTAGATGCTCTTAATTAAATATAACAATACATATATGTTACTATTTTCTTTTGGAGTGAATAATTAAAAATGCTTATTGGATTATTAGAATTTGATCAAGAAATTAAGCAAAGGTATTGCGGACGACAAAGATGCATCTTTTTCTAAATAAAGAAGTAAGCAAGCTAGATCGGATGACAAAGTAAAGAAGAATAATTAATAGTAATTTCACAATATTTGTTGTTTACTTAAACTTTCAAATCTGTTATGAAATAATTAATATATGGGTTATCATGTTATTTATCTTTCTTTTCGTAATTTGTATGATTTTAAGATACAAACAATAATGAAGTATTTTCTACTAATCTAGAGCATGGTGTGTTTTCGAATGTGAATTCTGAATTTTTATGTATTTATAGAAAGTTTAGAAACGTGTATGTGTATAAGTTCTACGCACATTAATATTTTTAGAATTAAAGCTTTTGAAAATTTGAGTCCATATAATGGATGAGAAAGAAGAAATACATATATACCAACCTAGTAGTAAAGTTTGTGATCAAAAAGCAAAAATAAAAATGGTAATATAACCGATGAACTGAAGAGTACTGACGAACGATCAATGGTTCATATTAAATGGTTCAAGAAAAATCAGGTCTAAATATTTCATCACTCTTGTTAAAAAAAAACATATCAATGGTTTTTGAGCTTGAGACTTAATTAGTAAAATTGTTTTATTTTGACGATACTCTTGTATAATTAACTAACAGCCTTTGTATTTTTTTTCCCATTGTTTTGTGTGTACAAAATATATAATTACACACACAAAAAATTAACTCGATCTTTGGAAAGAAATTATAAAGCAAGTTTAAAGACGTGTTTCTGTAAAGAACTGAGTACGTGTTGACAAGTGTATTTGGGAGAAAATCAACGTGTATGTGTATATGTTTCTTCGCACATTATATTTGCAGAATTAAAGCTCTTCACAATTACAATATAATTATAAAAAAATAACTTTAGGAAAGAAATTATAAAAACAGCGACAATACATATCTCAGCTAAATTATGAAGTCTTTTTGATTCGGATACGTCTTAAATTTTCAATTTACTATTTACAATTTTATTTTCGGATAGTGATATACAAAATATATAACATATTCAAAGTTTCAAGAAAAATAATACTAATTGAAAATACATGAAAAGGTAAATAACAGCTAGTGCTATTATAAAGTATATAACGTGTTTTCAAATGTGTATATTATGAAAATTTCAAAACAAAAATTATATAATATACATAATTTCAACTACATAAGAAGGTATAATTATGGTTTGTAAAGAATTATATTCGTAGTTTCAAATGTAATTCTGAATATTTTATGTAATTATAGAAAGTTTAGAAACGTGTTTGTTTATATGTCTACTCAAATTACATTTGCAGAATAAAGGTTTTGAAAATTTGAGTCGGTGGGTTGATTCAATGGATGAAAAACGAACAAACATACAAATTTATAGTAGTAAACTTAGTAAATAAGATTTCCTAATTGAAATATTTGTGGTCTTATTTGTTAAATTAGGGCTTGTTATGGGCTTCCAACTCAAAACCAATTGGCAATGAATGGATTGACCCTAACCCTTCATATATTACTCAAGTCCCATCACATCTTCCGATGTGGGATCTTTTCTCCACACGCCCCCTCGAGATAATGGTTCTTTTAGCCATTAATCTCGACAGAATCCATCACACCCCCTCGAGATAATGCTCTTCTAGCTATCTCAATGGAATTGGGCCTTCTTTTGGGCCATCAATTAATGGGGTGATCGGCCCTCTTTCTGGGCCGGATTAATTAATGGGTTAGCGTGTATTCGGGCTCTGATACCATGTTAAATTAGGGCTTGTTATGGGCTTCCAAAGCTTAAAACCGAATTGGCAATGAGTGGACGAGGCCCA